CTCTCTCTCTCTCTCTCTCTCTCTCTCTCTCTCTCTCTCTCTCTCTCTCTCTCTCTCTCTCTCTCTCTCTCTCTCTGTGGGTATGACGGGAATGAATCTTCCCGTTTGGGCGGGAAGATTCGTTCCCGTTTTGCACTTTCAAAACCCGTGCACGTTTCGAAAGTGCAAAACGGGAATGAATATTCCCGCCCAACGCCCACCCAAACACACACACACACACACACTTACATGCGCCGAAGTTGCGCGGGTTCTGAAAGTGGGTTTTCTCTTTTTTTTTTTTTACTTTGTTTTTCTTTTTTGATTGATTGATTGATTGATTGATTGATTGATTGATTGATTGGTAGGGGATGGGTCACCCCCCCAACCCCCATCCAATCTCTCTCTCTCTCTCTCTCTCTCTCTCACACACACACACACACACACACACACACACACACACACACACACACACACACACACACACAAGGTAGTTTTTCAACTTTTTTTTTTTACTTTTTTTTTTCCACGTGTATCCCGCCATGTGTCCGAGGCCCATTGCGCTCGACCCGTTGATCGGTATTCAACGGGAGGCCCCCGTTGTACCGTTCAACGGGGATTCAACGGGGACCCCGGGGGTGTACAACGGCTACAACGGCATTGTACAAAACTCGTTGCCCGTTGATAGGACACACAACTTCCAGGACCGCGCGTTTCGCCCTAGCTCGGGCGAGGCTGAAAAATTTTGTATCCATTGAACCTTCGGTGGAATAATGAGAGAGTTTGCTGCGAATCCGGACACCTTGCCAGCGATATTGAGCTTGCTGGAGTAGTTGGGTTTTGACTGCCTGAATAGTGTGTACGTAGTGGTCCAGGTCGTGAGGTGTTGGCTGTTGTTCTAACTTTTGAAGTTGGTTTAGTAGGTCTTTTTCGTGCTGGTTTCACTGTTTAGCAAGTTGTTTGGAAAATTCGTTGCATTTTTTTGCCTGGAAAAACAGTCCATTATTGAACCATGTCAGAGAAGAGTCCACTTCAGAGTAACGTTCTCGCCAATATGCCCATACTTGAGTCAGATACCCTTTTTTTTTTTTTTTTTTTTTTTTTTTTTTTTTTTTTTTTTTTTTTTTTTTTTTTGAAGAAAAGCCCTTATGATATCCCTCTATCCTGGCGGTGGTAAGAGAACCGTCAAAATTGAGGGCTTATCTGTCGGGCTGCTCCATCTATTGGTGGGGAGCGACACCTGCTGGAAAACGGGTCCAGCGTCCCATTGATACAACTTACAATACAGATATAATACAGATATTGATGTTTGTTGTTTCCTAGGGCTGTGGTGATACATGTCTCTTCCCGGGGCTCCATTGTCCCTTGGAGCTGCTATTTTCCCCCTTCCCTTCATGGAGTACCTCCTTTACTATTAGCCAGCCCTAGTTCTGCAGCCCCCCTGAAATGAGAGAGTCCTGTTCTGCAATTCCTCTGTGCAATGTTACTATGGGGTGTCCGTTTTAAACACTTTAAGCCCCAAACCCGTCAACCCTCTCTGTATCCTTGGAGAACCGAAAAACCACAAAAACGATAAGCCCCGGCTCTGTGGAATGATATGATACCCACTATCCCCCAGTTTCTTGTTGCTTTGTTTGTCATCCCCTTTCCAGATCCTCCACATCCTCCGCTCCCCTTTCGTACCGCCCTTCGTTGACTGTTCGCGCTCTGAAGGATGCAGGTCGTTGTGCCAGTCCTATCTTCCAAAACCTCGATCAACTTCGAAAAGATTTGAGACGGAACAAAGAAGTATTTAGTTTATAGAACCCTGGACTTTTTTTTTTTTTAACAGAAACCTGTGGTATCAGATTGGAGTGATGATAAGAGCATACACTCCTACCTGACACACTGGGGGCTCCAGTCTATTAGTGGGGAGATGCACCTGCTGGAAAACGGGTCCAGCGTCCCTAGTGTTGCAATACAAAGTTCCGGCCTTTCGAAAGGTAGCGCTATCATGCACATTTTGTGGTCCAGCCCAGGATAAGGACTAGACGGGAGGATTGCTGCAAGTGTCAAGCTGCCCGCCAGGTCTTCTGAGATAAGGATCAGGTCAATCCTTGATTTAGAGAGGCTCAGCCTGGTTGGGTCGTTGTTGCGGATACATGTAAATGTCCGTTCTGTGGGAAAGAAGCGGCGGAAGGTATCAAAAAGAGAAAGAGAGCTACACAAGCGATTAAGGATGATTTCGTCTTCCTCTACTTGATGACTGGTGGTCGAGGGGACCTGCCAGCGATCTAGCCAGCGATCAGGAGCCACGTTGAAATCCCCAGCGAGAATGATGGGAATGCCTTGTGGCTTTTTTTTTTTTTTTTTTTTAATTTTTTTTAAGACAAGGCTCCATCTATTGGTGGGGAGCAACACCTGCTGGAAACCGGGTCCAGCGTCCCATAGATACAACCATATCCTCACAATTGGCACAAACTGGGAACCGGGCCCAGCGTCCCATAACGAGTGCCTTGTGGCATTTTAGTTTGAATCTTTTGAAAAAAATTATTGCGTTCCTCCACAGCGCTGGGGGCGTAGATGCAAAAAATACAGACAAGTTCTAATTCTAGTGCCCCCAATACTAAAACCCATCGGCCCTCCTCTGTGTCCCTCTCGTGGTATAAGACCTCTAGGCGAGAGTCCGGGGGAATCCATATTGCTGTCCCCGCACTTGCTGGTCGCGGTGCATGTGCCCTATAGGCCTGATGCGGACAAACCGCCTTATGCGCTCTATTGTGATCAGGGGAATCAGTCAGGTGTGTTTCCTGTACACAGACCACATCAGGCCAACTTCGTCCCTCAACTCCCCGGAGAAGGTCCCGTATGGCCTGAGACTTGTCTGGGCAAAGTGTGGCCAGGCTGTTTACGTTAATGGATTTGAGGTCTAGATCTGCCTTGCGAAGAGTGCTGCGCCAGGCCTTGTTGCGGCCGTATAGTGCTTCGATCCATTCCGTTCTCCTAGTGTCCCGGCCGTTTCCCCTATTTCCTGCCCTAGAGATAGTGCCACGTGTACTGGTCCCATGCGACCCCGTCGTTGATTATGTTCTTCCGGACTATGGAGCACAAGGAGGTGATTATCTCCCTATCAGGCCAGATGTGGTTGAGTTTGAGCTCAGTCAATCCCCTGGTAATCAGCGCAATCAATGCTGGCAGGCTGGTAGTTGGATAACGACATCTGGGTAGGGGTAGTTAGGGGAGGGAGGAACTAGCTTCTCAGCAGCAGTTATTTGGCGCCTGGCCCAGGGTGGTGAGGTTTCCCCCCTGTCTCTTAACAACCTGCACAGTCAATCCTCTGGATGCCAGAGTAATCAATGCTGGCAGGTGTTTTCTCAACCTTTTTTCTTGGCATTCTCCTGATTCACTCTGTATATGGGACACTGGACCCGTTTTCCAGCAGGTAAATCTCCCCACCAATAGATGGAGCCTCTCCCCGAGTACTAGTGGGTAGTAGTGGTACCTGCTCTTACCAGTACCACTAGCACTGCAGGGGGTGTTGTTTTCGTTATAAAAAAAAAAAAAAAGAGTAGAGGATCTCCCGCTGGACCCACTGGAATGGAAATGGTTCAGGTCTGCCACGAGGGCTGGTACAGGCAAGCGACACACATCACACCTCTGGCTTCACAAGCTTACTGTCAGATCAATCTACAAATTGATCCACCCTAAAAGAGACATCAGGGACAGAGTCAAGGAACGATGGGCCAGGCACCAAAACCTGGTCATAAATGATCTGCAATCTATGAAACTCTTCAGTTATTACAAAAGCAAACCTGCTAAATCAATTGCTCTGAAGTGGCTAATCTTTCATAGATGCCTCCGGACAAGAGACTTAGCTTATACAGCACATGTAATTGGAAGTTGGAACGGATGGGGCTACTCCTGCCATTGTGCACAAGCTGTCTCTCAAACTTCCCGCATCCAAAGATTAGAGAGACCCACCAGGGTGGGGGTGTGAGGCCTGGAAGAGCTCGGCAGAGAGTGAGACAGTGCTGGAGAGCTTTAGAAGGGTTGCTAGGGATTCCCAGGGTTTTCAGCATTTGTAGGACCTCTGTGGTGGCGTATTTTATTGTGGGTAGACTTTTTTATCTGACGTTTGTCGTAGTAATTTTCTAATAGAAGATTGTCTGGGCCTGGCGTCCGAAGTTCCCGTTCGACAAGGCTTGTCCGATTCCGCTTCCACCAGGGCTGGGCAACCTATCAGCCCTGGTGCCTATCACTGCTGTTCGGTCCAAGTTACCTGCCCATTGGTAGGGTAATGGTCCTGAGTGGTGGTCACGTTGAGGTAGGATAGTGGGATAGGGGGTGCGCTAGGAGTATTGGAGTGAGGATGCGTTTCATGTTGGGGCGACATCTACGCAATCAGTTGGAGTATCGGTATGGATTGCTGGCAGGCGAAGCTGATTGCGGCGAGGATGATGACAATAACAACAACGGGGACACCCATCTGCAGTGGGGTGATGGGAACCGGGCGGATGAGTGGAAGGTGGAGCACGAGGTTAAAACAGAGGTGGTGGTTGTGGTGGAGGGGATGCAGGGAATGGGCGAGATCGACAAGAAGGGTGCGAAGGTGGACGACGACAACAACAACAACGACAACAACTCCAGCAACGGCGGTGAGCAGCGGCAGGGTGAAATGGCCGACACGGGAGTGAAGAATGACGACAACAACAATAACGACACTAATAACAACAATGCCTGTGAGCAGGGATTGGGCGAAATAGGCGGCGACGGCACGAGGGACGACAACAACAGCAACAACGATGGTGATAACAACAACAACGACAATGACAACAACAACGACAATTACAAGGTCGCCACAACGACGGCTGGAGAGTTAAAGACAACGATGACAACAGCATTAGGGAAGTTGGGGGGAACTAGTAGCTTGGTTGGGCTGGTGAGGTGCGATTTGAGGTTGAAGGTGAGACTTCCCGTTCCAGCCCGTTCCTACCCGGTGTTTCATCCTGATGATTCGTTTTTTCCTTTTTGGCACCGGGTGGGAGTAGGATAGATGACCTACCCCTTGTTTGATCATGGCTGATTGGCTCTCAACTCTCATGCCCTCAAGACTTATTCACGTGGCCTTATGAGGGGTTTGATGATTACATTTTGATCTTACATCGTCATCTCCACACAACGTCGAATAGGGGATAAATGCACTTGGGTTCACATATCCCTGTATAGGGATGCTGGACCTGATTTCCAGCTTATACACAGTATATCTGCACTTGGGTTTCGACCCTTGCTTTGATTGATAGGATTGGGCTTGAGGCCTTGCTCGTTATGGAGAAACGGCAGAATAGGTACACAGGGTTTTCCCCACATGACCACATATCACTGATCACATCTGAATTAGGGTTACGACTTCTGGTGTGATCGACAGAATCGGGCATGATACCTTGCTCCCTATGGACATATGGTAGACTAGGTAGATAGGGTTCTCCCTTCATAGGACATGTTTTGATTGATGAACAAATACAGATAGTACTAGATACATAATAGGACACAGACAATGGGTGGATAGGGTTCTCCCCCCATGGGACATGTGTAGATTGATGAACAAATACTCAGTAGGACACAGACACATATAGATGTATAGGGATGCTGGACCCGATTTCCAGCTGACACATATCACATCTTTGTATAGGTCGTATAACTTCGTATAATGTATGCTATACGAAGTAT